AAAAACTTAACTTATTAAAAAATAGTAACTATTATCTATTTTAATAATTATATATCTTATTATATTTTTAAAATTTTAATTAATAATTAATAACATCTATTATATTTCATTCATAATACTTTTAAAAAATAAATAATCAAATATTAAAATAGCTTCAAAATTACAATACACCATAGTTCAATATATATAGTCATAATTATGGTTACAATTACAACATTACACATGCTCAATCTTAATTCTAAATGGACAATCCGAACCCGATTCTTTTTCCGGGTCCTTTAACTTCCTCCCAGCGTGAAATGAGAAACCTGGAAAGACCCTACGCAGGCTCCCACAAACGATTTCAGTTGCTGTCCAAAATTCTTCCCAGTTACGTGAACCAAGCTTAAAATGTTGCCAAAATTCTTCCTAGTCACAGCAGAGAAAATGACAGCAACACAGTCCAAAATGGTGAAGTTTTAAGTTATAAACAGTGCAGAATTTTGTAACAAATGAGGAAAAATGGACAACAAGTTAGTCTCCAAAACAAATGTACAATAAAGGGGAAAATAATCAAAATTCCGTAGCAGCATGCTGTGTAGCTTTCAAGTTCTAGCGGCAAAAATCAGCATATTAGAATCACAGAACTGTGCAGGAAAAGTGCAGAAAAATGCATGGTTCATGGCATATTTTCAGCAAAGTAAAACATGATGAAACTTGGCATAATTCATGTGCAAGAACAGAGCAAGATGATAACACAAAAACAGCAACTAACAGGGCTCACAAAGTGCAAAAAAATCAGATTAAATAGTTGTACCCAAAAGTGAAATAAAATAGCCTTTAGTGATACCAAAATTCTAACCATCAACTACATATTTCTCTAATTAACAATAAACAACCCAACGACAATTAAGAAGTCTAGAATTCGAATTTAAAGGTTATTAATATACCTAAATTCCTTTTTGATGAGTTTAAATCTAGTGACTATAATAAACGAACAGGAACGGAGATTTCTGCGCGCGGCTTGAACAACTTCAACTTCGAAACTGTGTATAAGCACGAACGAATTAGGGATTTAGTCACAAACCAATTAAACATACCAAAGAATCAAATGAAGCAAATAATCAAGTAAGTAACAAAGATAGCAGCACTAAGTCTCAAAAATAATGAAAAGGATCAAAGCATTTGAATACGCTACTGTAGATTAAGAAACCAAAGCCCTAGCCACTAAGAAACTGAAAACCTTGAAATTTGAGAAACTTACTGAAAAGAATTGATTCGAAGTAGAAGCAAAGGGATTAATGTAAGCGTTGGATTCAAAATCAGAGAAACCAGGATCGATTGAACTAGCGGAGAAATTTTGAGAACTAACCAATATGAGTAGGAAAGCTTGGGAGGAGAAATTTAGATGATGAATAGTAAGATCACTCGTCAAGTAACTTGAAGTTTTATGGATGGTAGGGAAGGGAAAGATCAGTCTGTTTGTGGCTTTTGGTTTACGACATGGTTGGGTCAGTGACTGGTAAACAAAATTTTGTAGTGTGAATTGTCAAGGAATTAAAAAAGGAGTAGGTTTTGAGATGTGAAAATTGGGATTTTGCTTCTAAAGTGTAGGGAGGGGAATAGAGGTTAAGATTAAGAAGAAGAAACAAAACCTAAGATGGAGAAAAAAATGGAAAGGGAAAGCTGGAACCTAGGAGCAATGAAAGGTCAGAGAGCACAGTGGCTTGGCAAACTCCAGTGCAAAAGCTCAGAAAGAAAATTTAAAATATATATATATTCTTGGAAGTTTTAAACGGAAGCCAATCTACTTCTGTAAAAGTGAGATTGACGTGTTAAAATTGTGAAGCGAGTGCCA